GTTCTACAGACATTATGTGTTTTATTGTAAAAACTCAATAAAATTTAATTAGAAAAAATAAGCCCCTGTTAAAAATATTCTAAGTTTCCATCTCGGTTAAGTTCAAAATATTCAGTAGAAAAGTTGTGGTATTCATGTTTGTTGTCATTGTTCTTGTTTGCCATTTGTGGTATGTCATTAACAAGTTTTGATAAACTAAGGTGAATCTATCATGGGCTTTTCTTGGCAAGATTTGTTCAGAGGAGATTTGTCACTACCTTCCCCCAAGCTGAGAGTGTGTGACTGGCCCACATATACCCAGTGGGTAGCATGCATGCATAACAAATATTTTTTTTAATAACTGCTTTTTATTCCAGAATTTCAGAGCACCATAAAAAAACAAATTTACCACTCTTATAGCAATCCAGACTATGACATTACATTTTAGAAGGAAGCTGTTCTTGTGTTCTATATTTTTTTTCAGTGACAATTTAAGGAAATACATGAATGTACAAGGCAGGTTTCATGTGGAACATAGTACTGTGCCAATAGTGGCTTGAGAGATAAATATATAACTGAGCATCTGTAAGTGTTTCCACACTATAGAGGAAGATCAAAAAAATGCACATGGTCTTTAATGTCTGTTATTTTCTGGCAGTGTTGGGAAATTACTGTAAAAGTAATGAGTTGTAGTTCCAAGGACCTCCAAATTAGATTCTTACTTGCTATACTGTACTGCCAAATTTTAGAAAGCAATGCTTCTTCTTATTTCAATGTAACTAAAACTGTTACCTTAAATTGCTTTAGGGGAAAAAAACACCAGGATGCAAGAAACCATCATCTATGATACAAACACATGGGAGCAGTGATTCCATATACACTTTGTAACTACAGAAATTAAAAAAAAAACTAATATAACTACACTACCCAAAGGAATAAAATGATTCCCCATAAAGTTACAATTATACTGTAACTTAGGTATACTTTACTTATTTCAAAAAGGAATTACTTAGAAACAAATATTATTTGTAACCATTCTACTTCTGCTCTCTGTTCATTTGCATGCCCTGCAGGTGACATACCCCCTAAGCAGATGGCTAATTGAGCCGTTTGGGGGGCAGGAAAGGGGAGGGGCAGCTGCACGATCGGCACCCCAACCCCTTCCCTAGGTTGTCCTCGGAGCAGCTGGCCCTCTGCACGGCCGGCGCTCCGAGGAGGACCTCCTGCTGCAGCGTTTGCACATGCTACGATGGAAGAGTCGCCGAAGGTGCGCCGCAGCCTTTTGCGGCACACCTTCGGCGACTTGTGAAAGGAGCGCCAATTTAGCACTCCTTTCAGGGCAGCGAAGCTGTGCCATGGGGCCGAGGTGTGGGGATACCTTGGCCCCACAGCGCAGCTTCCCAGGGCGGCCCATGGCCGCCCGTCTGCTTCCCCCCATTTATGCAGAGAAAGTGTTCAACATAGCACAGTGGGGAAAACTAACTCAGAGATTAAATAGTGACAAATTCAACAGACCTGTCATGCCCAGTCTGACTGAGGATTCAGGGGATGACTCTGAGGCAGAGTGGGCCCTAGTTCTGCCCTGACAGCTCCAGCAGAGTCTGTGGCCTTAAAAGAGACTCAGCAACCAAACCTTCCGGCAGCAGAGCTTCCAGGCACAGGAGGCATGGAAGAGGAGGAGGAGGATGCCAACATACCTACCTTCAGCCAGAGAAGGTCTGAAAGGATGTGCCACCAGCACTCGAGGAGGTTTTATGAGAAATGCCAGCTAATCACAAAACAGCTAAGCTCATGAGAGTTGATGATATAACCAGGGGAAGGATGCCAGACCAGTTGTCAGAGACTATCTAAGTTGGCTGGTGAAAGCATACTTGTTCCTGACCTTCACTTCATCTTCTTGGCTTGGACCCTTGATTCTCAGACTGCCTGGTCATTTTGCTTCTCTGGAACCCTTACCTTGGACTGCTTGACTATGCTTTTGGTTTGACCCCTTTACTTGATGCCATGGACCTTTGGTACTGGACTTTGACTTTACTTATGCTTTAACTTCAAAAGCTCCATGAGGTGTTATTTTGATTATTGATTAAACTGTGGCTATCAGCATAATTGGGTCAAGAAAGCTGCTAAATGCTGATAGCCACAGTCTAAGCAACATAACACCTCATGGAGCTTGCGAAATTAAAGCAAAAGTAAAGGCAAAGTCCTCAGCCAGATTGGGCATGACAACACCTGAATGCACATGAACAGGGCATAGATCCTCAAAGATCCTGCTGCAAAACAGGATGATGACCTGGACAGCTTATTCTAAGGCAGATGAGCAAACAGTGTGCAAGGAAGGGGAGGTACAATTTAATCTGATAAACCAAAAGAAAACAGAACTAAATAAAAAACCTCAAACAATGAAAAAAAATGAAAGAGAAAGATGATATTCTAAAAGATGTTCACCTGTGTCACTGGTGTATTGGTGCAGTTGGCCTAACTAAAGGTTTCCAGGGCACTTCCATCTTTGAAGTTTAGCAAGACATGACATGCTTTCCTTGTGCTGAAGCTACAAAACAATTTTTTTTTTGTAGCAAATATAGTTTTTCTGTCCATACAAGGTACAATTACTTATTGCATAGAGCGAGGCTCTGCATCTTCAACAATAGCTGTTTATGGGTACCAGCATTTCCCAAATGATGACAATCAACGTTAAACAGTTCTATTTGTTAATATTCAGGAGGACAACTAGAGGTCCAGTATCCTTTATCCAAAATCCCTATACCTGAAGTACCTTGATTACATGCACATACACACATACACAGAGTGAGATTTGGTTGGCACTTTGATCAAGTATGACATGTTATGCCCCCCTTTTTTTTCTCTACTCCCAATCTGCTTACAATATTAGCATCAATAACTCAATCATTCAACGGCATGATAGAAAACAATAATGCTGGGTTACTCTTCAGGTGGAAGGAAAAGAGGAAGACCACACTGCAGAAGGATTGACTCAATATAGGAAACCGTGGTTCTAAGTTTCCAAGGTCCAAGAAGGTCTGTTAATAACAAGATCTCTTGGAGGGCTCTCATTCATAGGGTTGTCCCAAGGTGAAACATCCTTAATGGCACATAATGAGAATAAGTCTCAAGGATCATCTGATGTTCAAACAGACCCCTCTTTATTCATTATGCACATGAAGCAGGATGAATGGATGATGCTGGTCCTGTTCCCAAATTTCTACAATTCATCAGTCCTGCCTGCCACACATTGTGTTTGCATCTCTCAATAGGGAAAATCTTGCACATACGTTAGCACACCTTCTGGTTTGTCAATTCGCCATCATTCCAGATAGCACTACATTTTACTCATCTACAGCTATTCTAAGGTAGGTACCTGTTATTCTGGTGTCCATGTGCATGTCAGATGTCAGTGTGAACCCAGAAAATCATATATTACAGGGTTAATGTATGAAGTTGGCTTTTGATGGTGTATGAAGTTATGACCATATCAAATTTGCATTTCACATAGTTTGGGTTGGATATCTTCATGGCATGAAAAACATGAAATGTATTTTCAGTGAATGCTGATTAAGAGCTTCAATCCCTTTCCCACTGCTTCTTGCATTCTCTGAGTCAGAAATTCTTAGCATTCAGCAGCACCAGCCAAATCTTTTGAAGAATACAGGTTGCATGTTAGTGTGTGGTAATATGTAAAATAATAAATCAACAGGCACACTAGATAACAGAAAAGAACGTGCAGACAGCACAGCTGTAATCACAGGTATCTGCCTCAAGGGAAAAGGATTTCCTCACTAATTAAAAAGTTAATTTAAATTGTATAACTGCAAATTTGTCTAATACACAATGAACCAATAGAACATTCTTAGTGATGAAAGAACACAGGACAAAATAAAATGAATTGACACTGTCACACTGATGGTTAACTTATCAAGATTATTTTTTTCCCACCTCCCTTAACAAAACTAGGGAATGAATACATTCCTAACACTTTGGAGCCAAAAGAAAATTTCAAAAAGGAGACAGAATGATCATTTGAGGAGCCCAGGTTCCATTTGCATCCCTCTCACTACCTCTACAAATTGTAGACAAAGGGAGAGGGCAAATATATTCAAGTTACTACACGCTATTTAATATATCTCCAAAATCTGAATTAATAAGCCCCACTGCAGTGCAAGTTCACTGTCCAATCATAATTATCGGTTTCTCTTCTCAGAATGATTCACTGATAGTTAATATATTTGAGTCTCAGTCCAAATGACACTAAAAATACTAGGTTCTACACAGCATGTGTTCAAGAGTGCTGGAATGAAAAAATATACACTATCCACCAAAAGCTGCTCATACTAAAACCCTGTGTAATAATGTTCAGATAGGCTTGGGCTATCATATTTTCCCCTTTATAATCATCTCTATATTATTTGCTACCTTAGTCTCCTCAACTCGTCTTCTGTACATTAAATTGACACAATATAAGCAGTTATAATTTTGTGCACAAACTTTGAAAAGGAAAGAAGGGAATAAACTCAGTCTTCTCACCTATTTGCTTGCTTGTCATCACTTGATCATTCTAGAAGCACAGAGCAGATATAGCCTGGTATATTTTGAAAAAAATTCAAATCTATTTTCACCTCCTAACACATTATCTAGGCACAACTAACTGTCTGTTCTTTATGATATTTCTTCAATTCAACAGTCCACAAAAATGCTTTAGAAATGCTACTCATGCTTTTTTGTATAATGTGCAAAATTTTACTGCTGAAATAATTCAGATTTATAAAGGTACTTCACTCTAGAATGTTTGGAGGAACCATGATAAATTAATTGGTTCAAAGAGCTAGTAATAAAATGTGTGAAGGGGCAGGTGTTAATCTTATCAGTTGGACAAAGAAAATATTCTTAACTATTCCTAATGAAAAACAAGACATACAAAATTATAGATAAAGAGAGTGTGTGGTGTAGTGGTTTGAGCACTAGACTATGACTCTGAACTTCAGGAATCGAACCCTGACTCAGCCATAGAAACCCACTTGGTGGCCTTGGGCAAGTCACACTCTCTCAGCCTCAGAGGAAGGCAAAGACAAGCCCTCTCTGAACAAATGTTGCCAAGAAACGCCCATGACAGTGTCACCATAAGCACATGATCACAAAATAATAAACAAACATCTGTGTCACAGAATTAGCTTTCAATTTTTAACAGTTGTAAATGTCTCCTGAAGTGTGTTCTCCTTGTTGCCTCTAATACAGAGACACAGAAAAAATTATGTTTTTAATTAAAGGTTACATTTAAAAATTTAAAAACTTAGTTCAGTATGTACCTCTTTCCCAGTTACACCCCACATAATTGAATGGTATTTTTCTGCAAATTAAAAAAGGGAAATAACATTTTCATTTCAACATTGTCCTCTCCACCTACACCATTGCTGTACTGTGTGAATGGTTGGAATTTAATCAAGGATCTCTAGATGCCATAATGACTAAAAAGGCTGTTGTACTTTGGCCAAATCATGAGAAGACATGACTTCCTAGAAAAGACAATAATGCTTGCTAAGGTAAAAGACAGCAGAAAAAGAGGAAGACTGCATTCTAGATGGATAGACTTAATGAAGGAAGCCATGGTCCTGAGTTGGCAAGACTTGGGCAAGACTTTGACAATAGGAGAACTTTTTAAAAAATTAAAAAATAAATGGTATTTCATTTCTAAGGACTAACACTGCTGCTCACAAAAGTCCTTTTGAACTATTTTATTAGTCAGTGACTGTTACTGAATTAATGTGTGGTTTATGTGTATTTCTATTTCAATATATTATATATTCTACTTTATGTACAGATTGATTGGTGTTGGACTGGGATTTGGAAAATCCAGGTGCAAGTCCCCATGAAACTCACTGGATGGACTTGGGCCAATTACTCTCACTCAGGACGTTTTCACACGGGGCAAAAGGAGGACGCTAGCCGGCCTCCCGCCGGCCTCACTCCGGCTCCATTTTCCGTGTGTTCACACACGCGCGGCGGCAAACCCCGCCCCTTCCGGTGTCATCCCTGCGTCCAGCCGGCTTTTCACTCCGTGTGTTCAGACACACGGAGCCCTAAGTCCGGCGTCACTCCGGACGAAACAATGATAACTCCGGCTAACTCCGGCTTCAGGTAATTCCAGCTGTCAACAGGAATTAGCCTTTCGGCGGCGGAGCCATTCCGGAATCGGCGGCACGACCCGTTCCGGAATGGCTCCACCCGGCTTTAGGAGGACAAGTGTGAAAACGTCCTCAGACTGACTGACCTCACAGGACTATAGGCCTTTGCAGACTGCCAGAAATAGTACACATTAAATTGAGGCACTGTCCTGGCTCAGTGCTAGGGAATCATGGGAATTGTATTTTTTTCTGGGACATTGAGCCTTCTCTGTCAGAGAGCTCTGGTGCCACAATAAATTACAGTTCCCATGATTCCCTAGCACTGAGCCAGGGCAGTGCCTCAATTTAATGTGCATTATTTCTGGCAGTCTGCTTAGGCCCTATGTGTTGCAAGGAGGATAAAACTGATGTGACACATGCACTCTGATTTATAAGTGCATTGAAGGAAAGATGAAATAAAAATGTAAACAATAAATAATTAAATAAATGTTTGTCTCCAAAGAAGGATATTTTTCTCACTTTGATAGTGTTTTCTCTAGCTTCCTATCCTATCTCTAGCTGCCAATCCTATCTTCCTATTCCTAACTTTGCTCCATGGTTATTTGCTCATTCAAATGGCAAGAAATTATTTTGTGGCGATGAACTACACCTATAAAGTACCACTGAGTGAGGCATTTAAAGCATATTGGGATATGCCACTCACTCTGTGTGTGTATTTTCAAGTCACATGTTGACTTATGCCAACCCCATAAATTTCATAGGGTTTTCTTAAGCAAAGAATACTCAGAGGTGGTTTTGTCTATTCCTTTCTCTGAAATACAGTCCACATTACCTCATATTTGTTAGTGGTTTCCCATCCAAGTACCAACCTGGGCTGACCCTGCTTAGCTTCAAAGTTCAGATATATGTCACTCACTGCCAAAATTGTTATGACTATATGGATTTTTCTTCATGAGCCACACAAGGAATATGTGCAGAACTTGTTAAATGATTTTAAGAAGCCAACATTGGTTATAGGATGGGGCTATAAGGGGGTACTACACTAGCATTAATGGTCAATTTCATAGAATCATAGAGCTGGAAGAGACCCCAAGGTCCATCCAATCCAACCTCCTTTTATGTAGGAAGACACAATCAAAGCCCTCCCAGCAGATGGCTATACAGCCTCTGTTTAAAAACCTCTGTTACGATGAATTAACAACCTATTGCCATTTAAAATGGAAGAAATTATATAATGCTGCATTAATGAATTAGTGGATTGAACATATGTGTTTACATCATATCATTGTGTGCCTTCAAGTTGTTTCTGCCTTATAACAACCCTGAGGAATTTTCTTGGCAAGATTAGTTCAGAGTGGGTTTGCCCTTGGTTTCCACTGTGGCTGAGAAGATCATCCAGTGGGTTTCCATAGCCAAGTGGGGATTGAAACCCAATTCTCCAGAGTCATAGTACCACACTCAGATCACTAAGCCAGCTCTTGTTTACTCCATGGCAAAATAAAACAAAAATCAGCAACTGGGGGTCAATCAACCATGGAATAAAGGATAGCACTTTTGCAGTTTGGTACCTCAAATTTGATCCTCCCTTCCCATTTTCTATGTAGAATACTGCTATATTTATATTCTGACCACAATAGCTATGCCAAATAGAGAAAAAGTATATATTTTCAATTGAAATACCAACGTATCAGGAACATGAATCAAAATAGGCCAGGAGAGAGTGGACTCTTTCTCCAACACAACTCAGCAATGATTTTGTGCAGTATCTTTGGAACTTCAACTATTGCATTCCAGCCATATCCTTAAGTTGGTAAGGTAACTTATATAAAGCTCCTTGGTAAGAACCCTAACATAAATCTGCAGTATAGTTTGTTCTAGTCTAAGAACCTTATCATATTAGGTTGTCCCACCGCTTTTGTACTAGTGTTTAAGAATGGAAGCATATTGGTTTGGCAGAACTTCTTATTATACTTTCCTCCAAGATAGTACACATGGATCCATGGTCTGATTTTATGCACTGCCAGACTCCACCCTCTGGGAGGGAATAAGTGATCATAACTGCCAACTTCCTTCTGAAACCAGTTGCTGTGTGAATAAACACACAGCCAGTTTTGGGAAGGTATTGGCTACTGTGATTGCTGCTCCACCTCCCCCCCCACTCCCGAAACACAGGGCTGCTGTGTGCACATTCATACAGCAGTTCCACAGTTTGGGAAGAAGGAGGAAAGCAATTGCCATTATCAAGCAGCACCCCAAGCCAGCTGTTGTGTGAATGTGCACACAGCAGCCCACTTAGGAAGGTGGTGGATGCTACTATCACTGAAAGATGGAGGGAGGAAGAAGTGGAGAAGAAGAGAATCATGTCCACTCACCTCACATGATTTCCTAAGAAGTGGGACTGAATCCAGAAGGACCTATCACATGAAGATAGTAATAGAATAGCAGCAAGATTGAGAGCCCATTGACAGGTTTGGCCTGTCAATTAAAAGGTGCGTAACAGTGGAAAGCAATTGAATGCAAGGGAGCATCAGGATGGACACAACGTCGTGTGATAAGTACCAACCGAATATACTTTTATTCTATTAAAATTCCACTTTCCTAGCCTCATGTTCTAAGAAGAAAAGATGAGATTCTATGGGCCATTTTTCATAAGGTGTCAATTTCAAGTTAATTTGCTGGACCTGAATGCAAAACACAGAAGCAGCAGCACAAGCCAGAGTTGTTAAAGTGACTCAGAACATATGTGCCTCCTCCCACTAAAGGACTGGGAACAACTGTTTTGTGCCTGTCTGCAAAAGAATGTCAGATATTTTATAGTCGTTTATGGATTATTTTGGAAATAATTCTTTATTTTCTTTTTTCTTTCTTTCTTTCTTTGGTCTTTTTCTTTGTCCTGCCTTTTTAAAATATTTAATACAATACATTGTATAATTTAACTATTAACAACTTTAGGGAACTGTTGAGATATAAATCACGAATAATTGGCATCCACAGCAGAATGTGCAACAAACTGATTGGGAAACTATTACTTATTTGATAGAGCTATTAAATTACATAGAAAATGGCATGTTAATCCAAAAATGAAAGACTTCATCCAAGTAAGACAAATCATTTGAACATCATTTGCTTTGCTTTATGAGTTTAATCTACCCAGCTTTGAAAAGCATTCAGTATGCAGTTATCAGTAAGTCTAAGAAACCAAAGATTATTGCATACCAGCTATATTAAAAGGGAAACAGCCTCTTTAGTTTTCTTGTGGCTTATAGCCAAGCAATTAAAAAAAATCTTATATAGCCCCAATATATTACAGAAAAGCATGACTAGCTGAAGATAACTTTGCTTAATGAAGAAAAGTAACAGATACACCATACCCACATCACCTCAAAAGTCAGCAAACCTTTAGAGAAATGAGAGTCTGCAATACAAAAACAACAACTCTATGCACTGAGCCATAGAGTTTGAAAAGACCATAAGGACCACAGGGTCCAACCACCTACTATGAAGCAATACACATCTAAAACACTCCCAAAAGATAGCCAAATATCTCCAAGTCCACTGCCTCTTGAGCAGTATGTTGCATTATTACACCCAACAAGTTCTTCCTTTTTAGGTGGAATCTCATTTTTTGTAATCTCCAATCATGTTTTAGTTTCTGTAACAGCTGAAAACAAATGCATTCTATCTTCTACATGACATTCCTTAAGATATTTAAATATGGCTATTGTATTATGTCTCAGTTGTGCCTCCTACAAGTTAAACATAGCTAGCTCCCTAAGTTGCCTTCTTCTGAACATAAATTTTCCCTAAACTTTACATGATCTGTCCATATTCCTTACAATAAACACATTGGACAGATTAGATATTCTCAAGCTGTAGCATGTTTGA